TCAAATGCTTGAATACTTTCTCTAGCCGGGACATTTCCTCATCAAACTTTGTTGCAAACATGATGACATCATCCAGGTACACTAGGGCTATCCTCCATTGTAGGACCTTCCAGTACCCTTTCCATCAGCCTCTCAAATGTTGCTGGAGAATTGCTAAGCCAGAATGGCATCCCACGATACTGCCAGAGACCTTGGCCATAACTAAATGCAGTCTTAGGTATATCTGCTTCAGTCATTTTCACTTGATGGAAACCTCGACTTAAAGTCCAGAGTAGAAAACCATCTGGCTCCACTTAGGGCATCAAGAGTATCATGAATTCTTGGCTGTGGGTATGAGTCTTTTTTGGTTATACTGTTAAGAGCCCTGAAGTCCACACAGCAATGTTGGGTCCCATCCTTCTTCTGGACTAACACGACAGGAGCTAACCTGGGAATATCTGACTTCTTGACTATCCCTTCCTTAATTAGGCCATCCATGACCTTATTCATCTGTTGTCGCTTTGCTGAAGCTATTCTCCTCAAAGGGACCTTTATTGAACTGTGATTGTGTGTGTTTATTCTGTGCAATACAAGACCTGTGCAGCCGAGGTCTTGATCTCCTTTCGAAAAGATGTCTGCATAATTCGCCAAAAGTTCCCTAACCTGAAGAGCCTGTGATGATGACAAATGGATTATACTCTTCTTATAGAGGTCAGTTAAATATTCTGGGAGAGGACGTCCTTTCTTTATGGTCGTATTTCTTGCCTTAACATCAAGTGGCTCTACCTCCTGGCACACATCCAACAATGCTCACATTTAGAGAAATTGGCCACTGTTATGGGTACTACTTGATGACCTGCCACAAGTGACCTTCCAATCTTCACATCTGCTGTCCTGAAATGGGTCTTCTACAAGCATCGGGCTTCCTTGGGGATGTTCTTTTATTCTACCCCAAATTATCTTCTCTGGCATAGGGGTATTGTAGTTGACTTAAAAGCTGTGACATGCAAATCAACAGATGCGACAACACTTACTGGAATTTGGCCTTTGTTGTTCCCAATCGTCATTTTATCGAAGTTAACTACACACTTCCTTGGTAGTAAGTAGTCCAACCCTAATATGCATTGGTCTTCAATGTCGGCCAAGCATACTTTGTGTCTGTCCTTCATGCCCATGTAGTTACCAACACTGGTCCCCACAACCTTGCATAATGTCCTCTCACACCACAGAGCTTCTGTACATATTCTGGTACTCCTTTGTGATCCAGCACCTTGATATTCACAAGGGTTTGCTGAGATGTAGAATCTATGACAAAGTTGCACTTTTGGCCATCCAGCTTTCCTGTCACGTAGACACTATGCGTGCTTGCCATTTTACACTTAGCTGTTGGGAATTTCACAATGGGGGTTGGTGGGCATCCGTCAGCACCAACCACTACTGGTTTCCCGAAGCTGACTTATTGGTAGTATTCTTCTTACACTGGCTCCTCAGATGTCCTTGCTCTCCACAGTTCCAACAACCTTTCTGGGTAGCAGCCTTTCCTGCCGTGGCATCTTCCCTGTGTTGAAGTTTCCAGCATTGAGCTTTCTTGTGCCCAGGTTTGTTACAGTGCTAGCAAAGTCCCTCAAACCTCTCTGAAAGCTGACCTTTTCTGTCCTTGAATCCTGATGACTGTACCAACCTTGGTACCTCTGTGCTGGACTTAACATGGGATTCAAATTCAAGAGCTTTGACCATTGTATTCTGCATAGTAGAGGGGTCTGTTTGCTTCCCTTGTATCTTTAGTTGTGGACTGTCCAAGGCATCTACAAACTGATCCATCAGCAACAACTTGGGGATATCAGGTGGTGCAGTTGGGTAGGCTTTGTGTGCCATACTTTCCAAATCCTGTGCCAGGTCTTGCAGGCTCTCCCCCTTAGCACGGGCTCTCGTCCAAATCCTAGCCCTGTAGACTTTGGACTGGTTTTGGGATTCATATCTGAGTTCTAGAGTCGCTACCAGTGCTCTATAGTTGTGCCTGGTGTCTGCTGACAACTGTCCAAGTATTTCCAGTGGTTGTCCCTTCAAGCTCGTTGCCAGATATACTGCTTTCTGCTCCTCTGTCCATCCATTCAGCTCAAATTGTGTTCTATATGCTTCCCACGATGCCTTCCCATCAAATTCCTTGGCTTCCTTCGTACAAGATCACCTCTTCTGCTGACACTCATGTCTGTAATGTGACTTCTGACAGGACTGAAGATGTCTGCATTATGGTTTAGCTGCGGGGTCTGGAAGGGGCTTCCCGTTGTCTGAGGCTGATTAGGTCCATGGCTAATATATCCTCCTTGTGTAAAAGACAGTAAATTATCCTTTAATGTATCTCATTCACTTTGAAATTTAC